GTACTACTACGTACTACGTACTACGTACGTACTACTACGTACTAACGTACTACGTAACTACGTACTACGTTACTACGTTACTACGTACTCTACTCTCTCTCTCTCTCTCTCTCTCTCTCTCTCTCTCTCTCTCTCTCTCTCTCTCTCTCTCTCTCTCTCTCTCTGAGTTTAGCGACAGTTTCTTTTTTTATTTCTTGTGTAGTTCAGCGGTAGAATCAAACTTAGGTTGTCTAGTGTTTTGTGGCAGTTTCATCAGAGAAAATATTATTTCTAATTTGCAGTTTCAATAGAGAAAAGCAAGAAGGAAATATACTTACCATCTCTGTCAATAGGAGGATGCATGTCCAGTTTGTTTTTCATAGATTTCATGATCATTCCAGGCCACATGTGGGCAGAAAGAGCTCCTAGGAGTCGTTCAATGCCTTGTAGATCACCATCTATTGACAAACCTATCAAAAATATGGGAAAAAAATCCTTGAAATTTCATTCGACATACTTAGCCTCAAATAAATATGTTTCATTCAACAATAAAGATGGGATGGTACAATGTAAATTAGAATATAGAAAGAGCCCTATGGGCTGCTTGGGTGTACCACCCAGTCTATTTTGACTAGCAGTAAACACCATTATGGTCAAAACCACTCTTTTCTGAAATGAAGTCATAGCATTTAGGGCTTTAATTGTAGTATTTTCCTAACAAGCGGGGTTAGAAAGTATACAAAAACATGTTGAAGAGTTTCCGCAATACTGTGTTACGTTAACATATTAAGCACGTTCAGTGATCCACCCAAGCATGCCCTTAGTGTTTGCGCTTTCTTCATTTTTGCGAGAGATACTCGGTTGATACTTGATAACAACACAACCATAAAAAGCTTCCCACTAAGAAACAAAATAGCAACTCAGGAACGTGTCTTAACAGTTTAGAGTTTATATCAGAACTAGTTACAGCCCAACTATCCAGCAAATCAGCCTCCATAAGCAATATGCACTAGTTCACACAAACAATAGTTACTATCATACATATCCAAGAAGACGAGACAATTTCCTCTTCATGGAATTCTAAATGTCAGGGAAACCATGTCATTTTTCTATAGGTAACTTTCTTTGAAACCAAACTAAGGATCTTCATGATATAACCCCTTCAAAGGCTTGCCCTACTCTTCATGAAGACTTATAAATTTTTTCATGATTTACTGTCTCAAACACAGAATAGACCACATATAAATGCACAAATTTCAATTAAAACTCACATGTGCTTTAAGCTATGATTTCCAGTTCATGGGTGATTACTTAGCCTGATTATTGGGTGATCACTTGGCTAATAGAGTGTTGGGAACTTTGAGGGATATCAATCAATCTGTATGAAGGTCGGATAAGGTCTTTTAACATATGATGAAATTTCACTTGCTTCAAGAGATCTGTGGCACATGCATACATACATACATACATGATACATGCATGTGTGTATATATACATACATGCCTACATACGTAAAGCAAACACAAGCATGTGTACTCTGAATTTATTTTTTTTACCTACCAGAAGACAGAAAAAACTAGGTTCAATGCTTATCATTGAAAGAAAGTAAACTGAGGTTCATTACTAGTACAAGTAGTGTAACAAAGGAATCCTCGTAAGAATCAGTTCTGCATGAGAGCAGCTTATTCTTGGAGCAAGGGGAGAAACTCACATCTATCAAAGTCAGCATTGGCTGCACACGCTTCAACGTATTCGATACCATGTTTTCCACACCATTCCAAGCATGATTTCTTGATCTCTGAGGATTGTTCATCTTCTTCTTCCCCCAACAAGCTGCTTCCATCAGTCTCACGGATTCCGTAGTCCATGAATTCAGGGTGTGGATCGCTGGAGGATTCCCCAAGCTTCTGTAATCGCCTTCGATACTCTGCATGTGCAAAGTGACCGGGCAAAAGATCTGCTTTGTTCCCAATGCACAATAATATATCAAAATTTTCGATGTCCACACCAGAAGAAACCCATTCTCGGAGAACCCCAAATGATGACATCTGCAAATATCGTAATCAACAGCTTAATGCATCATTTACAGAATTCAATTTGAGGATTTGTTTCCCCAACATAATACTCTCATTTTTTGCTAAAAATGGCAAAACTGAATATGAATGTATTTTCCCATGGTTAAGTATATCATATTCCCATGCACTATGGAAGACAATAGCTCTTTGAGTTCATCACCATTGGACGAGTAACGGCAGTCATGGAGAGAATGGGATGGGCAGGTCTTAATTTAGAGGATCCCACTCTCCACCACCACCTGTCATTTTATCAGTTGGCGTCGACCGCAATGGACTATGGTTTCCGTAAGCCTTTGGAATATAATCTATACTATCCCTTTTATTATATGAAATCATCAAGGGCCAAGGTTCCCAACTTGACAAGGTTCTCTTTGATAAAAACAAGTAGTTGTCTATCTTTGGGCAAAACCAGCTGCTTGTTCGAGTGGAAAAGAAAGTCTGGGGTTCTTACATTGTTCATGTCGAAGACCATCACCAGTGCTGCTAAGTGATTGGCAATTGGGGAAGTATCCATAATCGTTCCAGTTTCAAGATGTGACATCCATATAGAAACATCAGCTGCGTAATACTTTGTATCGATGGTCCACCTTATGGAAGAGAGAGAGAGAGAGAGAGAGAGAGAGAGAGAGAGAGAGAGAGAGAGAGAGAGAGAGAGAGAGAGAGAGAGAGAGAGAGAGAGAGAGAGAGAGAGAGAGAGTAGTAAGTAACCGTAAGAACGTAACGTAACGTAACGTAACGTAACGTAACGTAACGAACGTAACGTAACGTAACG